TTTTTCCTAATACTGTGGTGTGACAATTTTTTATTTTCAGTTTTATGGATGGTTTATAACTTTTATCTAATGCTTTAGTAATTTCCTAACTGTTTAGTACAATAAATTGGTGTATGTACTGCTATTCGAACCTGTTTTGGAGTTTTTCTATTTTTCCTTTCAGGTTTTTCAGAAAAAGGATGAAAGGTGTCCAAGTTGCAGCAAAGATGTTAGGGTTTAGGGTTTTAGAAGGCAAACAGGATGGAAATACTTTGGTAAGCAATTTAGAGTTTGAAGTTGTGTGTTTTCATATGTTCCTATTGCCAACTCTAAGACTTTATATCTAAATATGTTGTGCCTGTTTTGCAGCAAACATGCTAGGTGGCCAAGTTTTTAGAAGGCAAACAGGATTGAAATAGTTTGGCAAGCAAAGTCGGTTTTAGGGGTCCACAGGATGTAAATAGTTTGCCAAGCAATTTAGACTTTGAAGTTGTGTTCTTTGTATGTTCCTATTCCCAATTCTAAGACTTTATATCTAAAATATAAAGTGCGTATAAAATAGATTTGTTTCAATTACCTATTTGCACAATCAGCTTGACTGTGTATGCAATTCTAAAACTTTACATGTAAATGTACTGTTCTTAAAAAAGGGTGTTAGTTGCAATTACCTATTTGCACAATCTTCCTTTACTCCGTTTGCAGCTATCCAACAAACTGCTCTTCAAGCTGGAATCCATCAATGTGTTCTAGCACATTTAAATAGATATCAGATAAAAGCAACTAAAAGAAGAATTTTGTCAAGTCATTTAGGTCATGTAAAAAAGGGTGTTAGTTCCAATTACCTATTTGCACAATCTTCCTTTACTCTGTTTGCATCTATCCAAACAACTGATGTTCAAGCTGGAATCCATCAATGTTTTCTACCACATTTAGAAAGAAATCAGATAAAAGCAACTAAAAGAAGAATTTTGTAAGTCATTTACATTACTGTTTTATGTAGATAAAACAAACATTCTACTTTAAACGGAAAAATGTTTTTATCCTACACAAATCTGACTTTTATAGTAATATAAAATCCAATAATTTAAAAAAGCCAGATGTCAAAATACAATAGAAATACAAATTGATTAACACTGTCAATACTTGAGGACCATTTGTGACACAAAGACATTTTTCAACGTGTCTATTATTAATAAAATAAATTTGTTTCTGCCAATAAAAAACAATTAAATAATCTCCTTATACATAGAAGAACATTATACCAGTTTTAAGCAAATAGTAAAAAAAAAAAAAAAAGGAATTTATATTACTGTTTTGACAAAAAAAAATGAGAATCTGCTTTTAAAAAAGAGTTTATCATGCAAAAAAAAAATCACTTATAGATGAACCAAGTCTAAAATACTGCATCAAAAACAAGATGTCAAAGACAATACAATTATTAATAAAATAAAGGAATTTGGTCGATAGTCGAGCACCATTTCCCGAACAAGGACATTTTACTGAATGTGTCTAATATTTACAAAATAAAGTTAGTGCTTGCAATATAACACAGTGAAAGAATATTATGATATATACAGAATAGTTATACCAGTTTGACCAAAGAGAAAAAAAAAAAAAAGCTATTACCATTACTTTGCTAACATTACTCAATTCTATACTTATATAGAACCAAACAATGCACCCAAATTAAAGGCCAGTGATGGAACAATATTGCCTTACAAATTAAAGTGAACAAACTTACAAACTATGCAAGTATATCCATACAAACTAATCTAACTACAGCCAAGTAGAGAGGAAGTCTTAACCTATTTCGTTGTATGACCCTATTGCTTTTAGTGGTCTTTGATTGATTGTTTTTTTTATGACAGCTGCTCTTCAATTTCTTCAAAGCTTGATGATTTCATTCTAATAAGAATAACAACAAAAAATATTGTTAGAATTTGTGTTCAGGATATTTAATAAGAGGAAAAGCATACACTCGCATAAAGTGAACAAAGTTACAAACTATGCAAGTATATGCATACAAACTAATCTAAAGACAGCCAAATAAAGATAAAGTGTTAACCTATTTGCTTATATGACCATAATGCTTTTAGTGGTCTTTGATTGCTTTTTTCTTTTCTGGGACCCATTCTTCAATGTCTCCATAGCTTGGATTATTCCATTCTTAAAAAAATACCCAAAAAAATTAAAATGGTTAGAATGTGTTCATAATAATCATTAAGTACAATCAAATAATCCATGTATGTGTTCAATGTTCTTAGAACAGTCTTACAAACTGTGCAACTATAACAGTGCAAAGTCATCTAATGTAACACCAATCAAGATATAGTCTTAAACTTATTTTATGATGTGGCCGTGGTGATTATTTTCTGCTTGCTGCTCTTCAATTGCTCTAAAAAGAATGAAAAAAAAGTTAGACTTTCTGTCAAGAATAAATAATACCAACACATACATTGAATAAATTGTCCGGCACATTTAGAAAGAAATTACATAACAGCATTACAATTCAAGATTGGTAAATTAAATAACATTAGTGTGTTAACTAAAAAAAAAGAAAATATACTTTATTTGAAGAATAATGTCAGCCACTGCCATAAGAGAAAAATGAATAGTTCTAGAACCAGTGAGTAATTGGTGTGTGTTCCATGTTCTTACAAATCAGCTAAAGAAATTGGATCAGTGGGAAATATTGGCCTGTTAAGTATTACTTAATCATTCTTAGGAAAAGAAACACATTTCCTAAACATTAAATACAATTGATGGGCTGCTATCATTACTATTAAGAGAAAACTCTTCAGTTCCAATCCTATTTCAAAATCCAGGCAAAAGTAAAATAAAGTACAATGAAGCCATATGATCAGCTTTGCCCCATCTAACTACCAACACAGTTCTCCAGTTTCAGACCAAAGGTAAAGACACAAATCACATCTACATTTTCAAGTAAACACAATAGACAGAGCAATGAGGAAAATCACTAAATCAACAATTTTAGGCATCAAAAGGAAACCAAGTGATGAAAATAAAGGTAAGTTCGAAACTTATCTTTTTCAGACTTCGAATTAAGCTTCATTGTAGCATCCTCTTCATCTGCGGTTCTGTTTATGCTCTCTATCTCCTCAAAAAATTCCAGTATGTTCATAAAAAACAACATGATAAAGTCGAAAACAGGTTAGGGTTTGTTGAATAATAATATAGCTATACCATTTGAAAATAACTGTTAAACAGTTAAGAGTACTTTCTCTTTGGTGTTTTTAGAGCAACATTACAAAAAATACGATTTAGAACCCTAATGGCTATGAAGAGGACAAATCTGAAATCAAAAAAATTCAGCTATGATTGTTGATATGCATGCATAGATCAAGAAACGTAGATCAAATTTAGAACAAACAACAACGAAAAGTAGGAAACCTAAACAAATTTAGTGTAGATTGACAAATTAATAATCTTAGAATTGGAGAATTACCTTCACTGAAACGCGATTGCCACGATTTACCGTTGTTGAACACTAAGATCTTTCACAGAAAGGAAAGATCGGGATTGTGTACTGCTAATCGGATCGATGCTAAGCGAGACCCGACTCCAATTTCGCCGGGAAAAATGTTCAATAAGAACAGTTGAATCGGAGATTAGGACTTAGGACTGATCTAGATTTAGGCTTGACAGAGAAAGATAGTAAGATCGTAGGGATAGGTGAAGAACAGATCTCCGATTCAGACATGAAAGCAAGGAGAGCTCAAGAAAAGGAAAAGGGTAGACCCTTCTTCCTCTTCTCTCGAAATTCCGACAGAATAAACAATAATATTGGATATATTATTGTATATATATATATATATATATATATATATATATATATATATATATATTATATGCGGAAAATTATATATATACCGAAAATAATATATTTAAAGAGTTTAAAGATATAAAATAATAAATAAATATATAGATATGTATATAGTTGTTTATTTATTTATTTAATTTTAATTGTTATGTGTAATTAATTAGATATATAATCTTAACAATTGTAATGGTATTTATTGTGGACAATGTTATACTTAAGATTTTGTCAAATAAAATTAGTGTTACTATATAGCCATTACCATTTCAGGTTATATATATTTCACAATTAGATTATCCGTAAGGTGTGTTTAGTGGCACACCACTAATTTGTAAATAATTGTGCGGTAAATTTTTAACAATTTGAAATTAAGTATGTACTGTTAGTTGTATTATGTGTAATTCATTTTTATGATTTTTAGTTATTTGGATTATTATTAAATTTAATGTTGTATTTTAATTCGCAGAAAATGAATTGGGCAACTCATTATCAAGGAATAATTCTGATCAAGGAAAACAACAGTCTCCGACAAGAAATCCTGCCCGCATTCCTCTTGGAGGGGGTTTGTCTCAAAACATCACACCCTTGAGTAACGTGACTAACGGTAAATCCACTAAGTTCAATTGATATAGCATCGTTGTGAATTTATAAAACCTTTTTATAAGTCTACTTATTATGTAAGTCTTATTTAAAACAATTACAATTTACAATCATAAGCTAGCGTAATGAATAGCATTGTGTGATTAATTTAAAAAATGTTAACTGTTCTACTTACTGTTGTTTTTATCCTCTTTTAATTTTTTTTTTTCATACAGCAAATAGTTTTTTCAAATCATCATTAATGAATAATGCTGGTCAAGGTAAGGAGCAACATACGCCAAATCATCCTGCCAAAAATCCTTTGGGATGTTGTTTCTCTCCAGATATCACACCATTCAGTACCATCAGTAATGGTAAATCCCAATATATGAATTGATATACATTCATTGTTAATTTAAATATCCTTATATTATTAATTGTTCGAAGCTGTTTGTAAAATTAAATAGTATAATTATAATGTAATTCATGTTTAATATCAATTTGTAATTAATTGATTAGGTGTAATTAATTGATTACATTTTACTTAATCATATATAGTTTTACATTGCTATTGTATTTAAGTTAGAATGTGGATCATTGTGTACATAATTCTATTCGTTTACGTATTAAAGTTGTGCAATTGAATTTTTTTTTTTTTTTTTTGTGATGTGTATTGAATTGTTTCGAGTTATAATTATTGGAATTAATTCTTAAGTTAATGGTATATTTTAAATCACATCAAATCATTTCGGTTACTCATCTTTTATGAATAATGCTGCTCAAGATCAAGACCAACGTACGACAGCTAATCCTTACACAATTCCCCACCGAGGATGTTTCTCTGAATATATCACACCATCGAGTAACATCACTACCGGTAAATGGCCGGTGTTGAATTGCTATACAATCATTGTGAATTTAATTATAATGTAACTCATGGTACATATAAGTATGTGTGGAATTGTAATCTCACTATTTTTTGCCTTATATATGATTTATTTTTTAAAAATAAATTTTTAATTTTTTGTTGAAATAGTTAAATTTGTTTTGATATGTGTAATTAATTAAATAGATTTTAGTTAGTGAGTTACACTCTTTTCTCTTTTATTTCTATTTATTTATAGTGCACATATTATTGTGGACCATGGTCTACCATGTGATTTTTCCACTAAAATATAATAATGTTTTTACAGTTACATTACTATTTCATATTCTAGGTTAGCATAAACTATAATGTTACGTGTATTTAAATTTTTTTTTTTGAATGCTACTAGCTCTATTACATTATAGTATCTGTTCATATACTTTCTCAACCTACTGAAACACAAAGAGCTAATAACGCCTCCACTGAGACTCGAACTCACAATCTTCCAAATGAAAGTCCAATCCAGATACCATTGGACCACATAGTCCTGGTACGTGTATTTAATTTATAATAGTAAGAATTCTATCCTTTTTATATATTCATTGTTAATTTAAATATCGTTATACTGTTATTTGTTCGAAGCTTTTTGTAAAATTAAATGGTATAATTATAATGTAATTCATGTTTAATATCAATTTGTAATTAATTGATTAGATGTAATTAATTGATTACATTGTACTTAGTCATATATAGTTTTTGTCGTGCTTGAATTGTATTTAAGTTAGAATGTGGACCATCGTCTACATAATTATATTCAATTACGTATTAAAGTTGTGCAAGTGATTTTTTATTTGGTTATGTGTACTGAATTGTTTCGAGTTATAATTATTGGAATTAGTTCTTAATTTGATGGTATATTTTAAATCACAGCAAATCATTTCGGTGGCTCATCTTGTACGAATAATACTGCTCAAGATCAAGACCAACGTACGACAGCTAATCCTTACACAAATCCCCAGCGAGGATGTTTCTCTGAATATATCACACCATTGAGTAACATCACTACCGGTAAATGCACTAATCTGAATTGCTATAGACTCATTGTGAATTTAATTATAATGTAACTCATGATACATATAAGTATGTGTGGATTTTTGGGTGATATATGATTTATTTTGGAATCTCAATTTCTAATTTTTTGTTAAAATAGTTTCATTTGTTTTGATATGTGTAATTAATTCCATAGATTCTACTTAGTGAAATACACTTTTTTCTCTTTTATTTCTATTAATGTTGAACATATTATTGTGGACCGTGGTCTACCATGTGATTTTTCCACTAAAATATAATAATACTTATACAGTTAAATTACTATTTCATATTCTAGGTTACCATAAGTTATAATGTTAGGTGTATTTAATTTATATTATTAAGAATTCTTTCCTTTTTATGTTACTACGTGCTACAAAATTATTTTTTTTACAGTACCATAAAATGTAGTGGTTTCAATTTTTGGTCACTTTAAATATTGTTATTCTTTAAATTGGGCTAATATTATGTATGTGTACAGTACGGCAATCCAATACACAAATAGGAGATGAATTTGCAATTCGTAAACCATTAGATAAATATGCAATTGTCGAAGACCAGGTAACAACCAGAGACTTGCTACCTGCCTTTGAAGATGAAAGTAACAATGCGGTGAGCGATGTCTCAAATCAGAACATAGCTGGTACTAAAATACTACCCTCTGGTGTTTCAAACAAATATAAGTAAAGTACATATGGTCAGTCTTTCAATATTAAAAATAATTTTTAAATGTTTTTTAATTTCAGATGCAAATTTATCGGGTGACGCTGTACGGCAGACCTCGGGAATTGGGACATCCTCTGGTCCACAAAATGGTGTGTATGTTTGTTTGTTTTATATATACAGCAAATATAAATTAGTAGTTAAATTTGTATATATTTGGTTTCAGGTCAATACTGCGATTTTGGCGATGCAACAAATTAGTGCGTACATTGTGGGGCTATGTTTTGGTTTGAAGAAAGGAAGAAGAATTTGTCAACAAAAGCATCGCCACTGTTTATGTTGTGTTGCAACAATGGGAAGATCAAATTGCCGGATAATAAGTTGCCACCAAAAGGTATATTTGATCTCTTTTTCGGCAATGACGAATTATCAAAAGAATTTTTACACAACATTAGGACCTACAACAACATGTTCTGTTTCACATCCATGGGTGGAAAAATTGACAAGAACGTGAACAAGGGTGGAGCACCTCCAATTTTTCGATTAAGTGGTCAAAACTACCACCTAATGGGCACTTTACTTCCAGAACAAGGCAAAGAACCTCATTTTGCCCAGTTATACATATACGACACGGCAAATGAAAGGAACAACCGTATAAATGCTGTGAGGTAAAGAAGTTTCCGTAATTACACATTTGAATACTATTTTTTATCTAAATAAATATCAATTCCAAGTATATGTTGTTGTAGGGGTATTGGTGACCAAGATGACATTCATGTAGAAATAGTGAATGTCATCCAGAAAGACCTGGATGAAAATAATGTCTTGGTTAAGTCTTTTCGCATGGCTATGTCTGAGTTGGATATTAATCCATGCGCCGAAGTAAAAATAAAGTTGTTGGGAAAACGAACTAGAGATGCTAGGACATATAATGTGCCTCAAGTGTCTGAAGTAGCAGCTTTAATCGTTGGCGATCTGGATACCAGTATTGAAGAGCGTGATATTATTGTTCAATCGAAGGGTGGCCAACTACAGAGGATTACTGAATTAAATCCTTCATACTTACCACTGCAATACCCTATTCTGTTTCCATATGGCGAAGATGGTTATCGGGAGGACATTGCATTCGCCGACGTAGTCGGCAGGCGCTCTTCTGGTGGTAGACAAAGGATTAGCCCCAGGGAGTTTTTTTGCTACCGCATACAATCTAGACAGTCAGCTCCAAGTACCATATTATTTGCAAAGCGGTTGTTCCAACAATTCGTTGTAGATGGCTACACAATGGTTGAGTCTGGAAGGCTAATTTATATAAGGACACACCAAAAAAGCCTAAGGTGTGAGAGTTACAGTGGATTAACTGATGCTTTGACGAGGGGTGATTTAAGCCCTGCAGCCCAAGGTCGTAGAATAATACTACCTTCGAGTTTTACTGGTGGTGCTAGATATATGATACAAAACTACCAAGATGCAATGGCAATATGTAGATGGATTGGATACCCAGATTTATTTATAACCTTTACATGCAATCCGAAGTGGCCTGAGGTGCAACGCTTTTTAAAAGATCAAAGGTTGAAGCCAGAAGACCGGCCGGACATAATTTGCCGCTTATTTAAGATTAAGTTGGATGCTTTGATAGCTGATTGTCGAAAGAATCAACTATTTGGCCCTGTTGCCGGAGGTAATATTTTGTTATTTTATTTTAAATCAATTAATCTAAATAAATTTTATGTAATTGCTTAACCTTATTATGTTTATTTGTATGTTGTTACAGTCATATATACAATTGAGTTTCAAAAGCGAGGTCTTCCGCATGCTCATATATTGCTTTTTCTGGAGAAAAGTAAAGAAGTTAGGCAAGTTCTCACTCTAGACAACATAATTTCAGCAGAGATTCCCGATGAAAAGAAAGAGGCTGAGTATTACCAGACGGTAGAGGAATTTATGATGCATGGTCCATGTGGAAAAGCCAGGACAAATTCTCCTTGCATGGTAAATGCACGATGCTCTAAACATTTTCCTAAGAGATTTGTTGATAGTTCTACGTTTGATGACGATGGTTACCCGGTATATAGAAGGAGAGACAATGGCAGTGTAGTTACAAAGAACGGGATCGCCTTGGACAACAGGTATGTGGTACCGCACAATAGATATTTATTGCTCAAGTACAAGGCTCATATAAATGTCTAGTGGTGCAACCAATCAAGGTCAATAAAGTACCTGTTCAAGTATGTTAACAAGGGTCATGATCGAGTAACAGCCGAATTTTACAAAACAGGCAATGATGACGAGAATGGCAAAGCAGTAGATGAGATAAATATGTACTATGACTGTAGGTACATATCCCCGTGTGAAGCTGTCTGGCGTCTATTTGGTTTTGATATACAACTTCGTGCGCCTTCGGTAGAGAGGTTAAGCTTTCACCTTCCTAATCAACAGAGTGTGATATTTGCAGATGATGATGCAGTTGAGAACATTGTGAATAGACCTACGATAGCACAGAGCATGTTCTTAGAATGGTTCGAAGCTAATAAAACATACCCCAATGCCAGAGAGCTTACTTATGTTGAGATGCCAACAAGATTCGTTTGGAAGAAAAACCTTAGAAAATGGCAGCCACGAAAGAAAGGGTTCTCCATAGGATGTATATTCTATGTCCCTCCAGCTACTGGTGAAATCTTCTATTTGAGGTGTTTGTTGAACAAAGTACGCGGCCCTAAAAGTTACGAAGATATTAGGACTGTAAATGGAGTCCAATATGACTCATTTCGAGATGCGTGTTATGCAAGGGGTTTAGTTGATGATGACAACGAATATGTTGATGCAATAGATGAAGCCAGTAGTTGGGCGTCAGCTGATCAATTGAGGAGATTGTTCGTGACATTACTAATGAGCAGTTGCATGGGGAAACCGGAAATAGTTTGGCATGCCGTTTGGCAACATCTATCAGACGATGCCCAATACAAAATCCGTTCACAACTGCAGAACAGAGGTAATCGTACATTTTTTTTAAGAGTATTAAGTCAAGTTTAAAGTATTTTGGTTATAACAACAAATTTTTATATATTTTTATGCAGATTTTGTGTTGACCGATTCCCACAAAATGAACTTTGCTTTAGTTCAGATTGAGAACCTATTATCTAATCATGGTAAGAGTTTGAAGGACTATCCTGAGATGCCAACGGCCAATTTTGGTGCGTTCCATATTATTGCAAATAGGTTGATTCAAGAAGAATTAGCATACGATCGTGGGGAACAGGAGAAAGAGAACCAAGAATTGGTAAGGCAGTTAACAGACGAACAAAAGGCAATATACAATGAAGTTTTAACTGACGTGGATCGCCAGGAAGGTGGGTTATTCTTCGTTTCGGGTTATGGAGGGACAGGTAAGACTTTCTTGTGGCGAGCACTTTCTTCCGCATTAAGGTCTAAGAGTCAAATAGTTTTAAATGTTGCTTCTAGCGGCATAGCTTCGCTGTTATTACCTGGTGGCCGTACGGCACATTCCCGGTTTGCTATACCGATATCTGTTAATGAAGATTCCACATGCAACATACGGAACGGCAGTGAACTGGCGGAACTTCTTGTGCAAACAAAGATGATAATATGGGACGAAGCCCCAATGATGCATAAATTCTGCTTTGAAGCATTGGATCGAACTTTGCGGGATTTGATGCGGTTAGTAAATCCAAGGAGTTCTGATATGACATTCGGTGGTAAAACAGTTGTTCTGGGTGGCGATTTCAGGCAAATTCTACCAGTCATTCCAAAGGGTACTAGACCGGATATAGTTCGAGCGAGCATTAGCTCATCCTATCTATGGCAATCCTGTAAAGTCCTGAGGCTAACTAAGAATCTACGCTTGAAAACTGTTGAATCTATATCCGAGTGCAAGGAGATCGAGGAATTTGCAAAATGGATAGCTAATATAGGTGACGAAATTATTGGGTGTCAACTTGAGGGGGAATCAGAGATTACTATTCCAGAAGATTTGTTGTTAAAGTGTGAAGATGACCCTATTGCTACAATCGTTGATAGCACTTTCCCCAATTTCCGAATGGGAATTGCCGATTTGTCATATCTTAATCATAGTGCAATTTTAGCTCCAACATTGGATGTGGTAGATGCCGTTAACCAATACATGAATGACCATAATCCTTCTGAGGGTAAAACATACCTGAGTTGTGATTCTGTGTGTAAGTCAGATGCCAATGTGGACATGTTAGCGGATTTGCACACTCCGGAATTCCTGAATGCCTTGAGATGTTCTGGAGTACCAAATCATGCTTTGACATTGAAAGTTGGATCACCTGTTATGCTGTTGAGAAATATTGATCACACATTAGGATTATGCAACGGTACAAGGTTGATTGTTACAAGGTTGGGTGACCATGTGTTGGAAGGCCAAATCATGTGCGGTACAAATGCAGGAACTAGAGTATTGATTCCTAGAATGTCTCTTACACCGTCAGATACCAAATTGCCTTTCAAATTTCAACGAAAGCAATTTCCCTTGATGCTATCCTATGCTATGACAATCAACAAAAGTCAAGGACAAACGCTTGCTAAAGTTGGGTTGTTGTTGAAAAAACCGGTCTTTAACCATGGACAACTATACGTAGCTGTTTCAAGAGTTAGTAACCCCAGGGGTTTGAAAATTTTGATTTGCGGTGAAAGTGTACCATATCTTAGTAAGACTAAAAATGTTGTGTACAAAGAAGTTTTCAATAATGTATAATAACAATTAACAATTTCTTTCAATAATACGTTTCTTATTATGTTTCTTATTCTTATTATATTATACCTCATACTGTTATGTACTATATAGGTAGAGTCCCTTAATGTATAATAAAATTACTATTTTCATCAATGTCTAATAAAATCACAACTTTTCATTTCACACTGTATTCAGATAATAACTATATTCTATACTGTATATATATCATACTATTAGGCATTCAAACTATATATTGGTTTCATCTAATTATATTATACTGTATATATATCATAATATATATATAGCCGCGCATCGCGCGGGTGCACCTACTAGTATATAGTTATAGTTATAGTACATATACTCTTAAATCTTACTTCCTAAATTTTATTCTCTGTAACTGATATAATAAATTACTTTTTTTTTTGTGTCCCAATACAAATATTTATATCAAAATTTTATGTATAAAAATAAAAATTACGAGTAAAAAATGAGAATACACATAGTATTTTTCATATATATATATATATATGCACGTTTGACTTTTATTTATTTTAATTTGTAAAAACCACTGCTCCACGTCACTGCAAACTGATTTTCATGCACAGATGAACACAGTTATTACGTTCACACCTACGTACGTACTATTCATCAAATTATTATAAATATTTGAAGTACTTCAATTTGCATGGTTCTGATTCATAGAAAGTCGCCTCACAATTTTATTTTCCCATTTTCTTCTTATATTCAAAACAATTTGGTGCAACGTAACCAATCTCCCTAAATCCGTGGCATGAATCCAGTCTATGCTTAGCTTCCTAGATATAATAATAATTAAGAATATAATGTTTGGTAAAAACTTGTGTGAGACGGTTTCATGGATTATTGTCGTGAGACAGGTCAGGATGAAAATGTAATAATACTTTTACATTTTGATTTAGAAGTATTATATATTTTTCTTAAAAAATAACTAACATTTTATTCCTGATTAGTATTATATTTTTTTAGTATAAGTATTACATTTTTATATTGACCCAACCCGTCTGACGGATAAGGATCCATGAGATTGTCTCACAAGAAAGTCACTCATAATGTTTTTTTTTGTTTTGTTTTTTTTTTTTTTTGTTTTGTTTTGTTTTTTTTTTTTGTTTTTTTTTTGTTTTTTTTTTGTTTTTTTTTTTTTTTGTTTTTTGTTTTTCCCACAAAAGCTAGTGGTAGTCAAGTGAGTATAGCATGATTTATATTCTTGTATCTAAAAATTACAAGTTTAATTATAGTCTTGACAGTACTCTTTTAGTCAAAGCATGTCGCGTGGACCTTTCCCATATGATTTGCTGACAATTACATGAAAGCATGGTTTCCAGCATAATAATGTTTTTCAAGACGATGATGAAGAATATAACTAGCTTATACAAACATACAATTGATGATGAATATAGTGCAAATATAAGTATAAATGCTTGGATTACAATTTAAATAGCTACTTAGAAATTAGAATAGTCCCAAATATTTTTTACGCCGATGGAAAATGATACCTCAATCAAAATTACTTTGCAAGTGGTGATGATTGACTCCTTCCCAATCAAGTTAGGAGACCTCTAATATGATCAAGACAAAAGAAAAGTGAAATTATAATATATCTTATTTGATTAATTTTCTAGAATATAATGATCAATATTTAGTAGTATTGGGAATTTAATTTGAAAGCACAAATGATCAGCTCAATTGGTTCTTAGATAAAAGATTATGGACAATAACATATGATTGATTCATGGCAACAGCAATATGGAAATTATATCCAATGTAGTAGTGAGTTCTTTGTAGGCATCAAGCATTCGTCCTTCACCTAATGGGCTTAGCTTGTTGAGTCATCGTGATTTGTCATTCCACTATTTGGTTGGGCTGTGGTGTGAAACTCTGGGGATCATGTTGGATCTTGGTCCAAAACGATACAGTTAATGACATCGACTAATGAAATACGTTTAATAACATTTATTATATATTATGTAATTTATAAACCTAAAGTGTAACACATGCATCTACACCCTATATCTTGATATATGGCGGTGTATTAACTTCAAACATACCAAATTAGCTGAAAGCACTGATTATAAACTACCATATATAATTAAGATTGGACAGAAATCAAAATATTTCTTAAATAAGATGTATGTTGGGTACAAGTTTTTAGACCACATAGTTATTTCTTAGTTTATGCAAGACATTTCCCTAGCTTGGGCTATTGGTGTAGTTGCTACCAAGGTCTAAAGATGAAGACGAATTGAATTGAATTGAATTGAAGTTAGATTTTGACAGCTAAGAATCTTTGTACATGGACCATGATTCAACTTGTGGTGACCAACAACCTTGTTCCTTATAAGCTTCATCCGGCAACCTTAATAACCCTCTATTAACCCCACCCAAACAAAGATTAGATACAGATCTGATGTGTCTGGTCTATCGTTTAAACATTACTTTTTTCATTTTTTTTTCCAATGTAACGAGACATTCAAATTAAAAGTCATCCACGTTAAAGGCTCTTAAAATTATCACTTTCTGATGTGTCATTTTTTTTACTGAATACGTAAATTCTTTATTAATTCAAATTACGCTAAAAATTATATATAGCTAGTAGCGAAAACGCCCGTAATTTTATTTCCTTATACTTGCGTAGTAGTCAACACCATGTTTCGATAGTAAAATGTTAGACTCGGCTCTCCAAGAGTCCAAGTCTCCGCTTAATAATTATAAACATAGTTACTAACGAAGTTTATGTGTGTAACATACGTGAGAGATATTTAAAAAATAGAGACCAAACTTGATCAATAGTAGTAATGGAAAACCTTAGCCCTTCAATTCTTTAGTTATGTCAATTCTAACCAAATTATTGTGTACTTAAATTAGAAGTTAAATGGGTCACCCCAGCAGACAGCAGTTGGGGTCTAATCCATGATCATGAAACAAATAAGTGGTGAATGTTGAGCGCATTGATTATATTTTTTTTCGTTGCAAAACTTTTGGAACTTAAAAAAGGGTTTCATTTGGCATAATATTCACGTTGAACTACGTGCCAGTACTGTTGGCTCAATTTTAGTGATATTCTGAATTGAAAAATATTTCTTAGACTCTCAAATTCTACGCCTAACTTTTATTTTCTCCTTAAAATTTTGATGTTACTTTGAGATCCATAAGATAAAGAGAACTAATTATCAATTGATACATCGCGAAATAAAAGTGAAAGAGTAGAATTAAAAAATACATGCATTAGAACTATATATTGTAATAATTGGATATACTATGCATGGTTGTACTAAGTACAATCGGCATTATTTAAAATTTCTATAATTTAATATTTCATTTATATTAAGTTTTAAGGTTAGTTCAAATATCGAGTCAATTTTGAGCAAAATTATAATGAGTGTTTGGTAAATAGTTGTTAGCTGATTTGGATAGTGAGTAGTTGATTGCATTAGCTGATTGTAGAAAGATGTTTGGTAAATTAACTGTTAGTTAGTAGCTGATTACATGGAAAATAACTTTCTCAAAAAGCTATTTTAAAAAGTTACTTTGACAGATTTTTTAATTTAGCATTTTGGAGCAATAAACTATTACAAAAAAATAATTAATCAAACATGTATATTGACTATTTAACTAAGCCAAACAACTAATAGCGGTCAGATAAGCCAGAATTGACGGATAAACTAACTATGTTACCAAACAGGGCTATAATACATAAATATCTAAACTAAATTTATATTCCAATATACCATAATTTAAAATATTAAAATAATAACTAATTAAATTTTACCTCAAATATTTCAAAAACCAATTTATATTTCAAATTTAATTCAGATAATCCAAATAATGATCACCCTACGCCTACGTTTAACTTAACTCTATGGTTAACTAGTTATGTGGACTTACTTGTGAGTGAGGATATTGTAAACGAAGGAGGAAGGGTAGTAGTGGAAGAATCAGTGTCGGTTGTAGTATTGTAGAGTGCAATACTCATATTAGGAAAATATAGATTGCTTATTGGCATACATATTGTAGACTCGAACTCACAACCTTTCAAATAGAAGTCCAACCCGGATACCATTGGACCACATAATCCTGGTATTGACATTCATAATGTATTAGACTATTTAACTTTTATTATTATTATTATTATTATTATAGTTCTACGAGTATAGCAGTATTTTTATTTTTAATTATTTTTGTCATTTTTAATACACAATATTAATATTTTTGTTCTTTTAATCCTTCGATCACATTTTCGTTTGAAAGTTTTCAAGAATTTCAAATTTTTTAAAGCAAAATCTTCCCTATTAAAATTTGTCACTTTTAATGTAACATTCTTATTGTTAGTCCTTGACCTCCCTCCCTTCCCCCACCACACAACAACCAACCAAAAGTGGTGAAAATTCTAACATGGGTAAATGTCACCCTTTTTCCTTCAATTATAGCTACATTCAATATTTTCCTTTCAATATTCTTGAAATAGTTATTTTTACTCATATACTAATTAATTTTTCAAAATAACATATAAAATCTTAAGAAATGCAAAGTTTTTTTTTTTTAATATCAAATAAAATTTTTAATGTCGTTTGTTTAATTCAAACGCGTACAAAATAGACAAGAAAATTCCATCCAATTCTCATGTCTAGACATACAGTTGTGGTTCTAGAAACGAGAGTTAAGAGAAATTAGCTTGTCTATTTTGCGTGCTTAGGTTTATAATGTTTGTATTAAATAAAGTTGAGTAAATAATATATGTCTTATTTGGTAACATAGTTAGCTTATTGATCAATTTTGGCTTATTTGACTACTATTAGTTGTTTGACTTGATTAAACAATCAATATGCGTGTTTAATTAATTTATTTTTTTGTAACAACTTATTGCTTCAAAATGTTAAAATTCAAAAAACTGTCAGCTTTTTGAGAAAGTCATTTTGTATGTAATCACTATTAACTAAACAGTTAATTTACCTAACATTTTTTTACAATCAAGTAATGTTATCAACTAGTCAAATCGACTAACACAATCAGCTAGTTATTCACCAAATACCCAATAACCAATTGAGTAGTGTGTATAGTGCAAAGTGTACTAGTATGCCAATTGCAATATGAATATATGATGGTGGTCTATAAAACGGCAATGAATTTTCTTCAAAAGCGGATCAGTGGATCACCTTCGTTTCCTTTTCTTCTCCCTCTGCTTTCACTCTCCATCGCACTCACTCTCACTCCTCATTTCGCTCCCAAACTTTTCTCATCTCTCTCGCACTTCCAATTTCAAATGGAGGCTTTTAATTTCCTCGCCGTCCAGAGATCAATCCTCAAATTCGACAATTTGAAAATCGTCGCCAAGCTGTTCCGCTTGATTGAGCTCTGTATCGGCTTGTTTCTCCTCGCGTGGAGCTCGTTTCGCTTGCCTTTCGCCGTCAAAATCTCCGGCGAGTATTTCCGCCTCCTCCTTTCCTTTATGATCACTCCTCTCTCCATTTTCGTCGTAAGCAACTTCATCGTCCTCACTCTGCTCCTAAAGTCCGGCGGTCTCTCCGTTCAGACTCCGGTCACCTGCAATGACGACGGTGAGACGGAATTCTACGAGTTGCTTATGGAGAGCAGCGTGTGCTGCGTGAACTTAACTTGCGAAAGTTCAGCTCCGGTTCCGAAGCCGGACGAGATCGCGTTCCAAGACAAACGGACAATTTTCGTCCAGAAACGCGAATGTTCTAGAACGGACGAAACCGCAAGTTTGGAAGTAAAACCTCCTCCGAAGAGAACACAATCGGAGAAGTTTAGGGTGGATAAGGTAGCAACGGAGAATCGCGGAAAGCTCCGACGATCGGAGACAGAAAAGTGCCGAAGAGTTGCAGATCCCGTCGACATTCCGGCCGAGACGGCGTATACGGTTGATGAGCTGAGCAATGAGGAGTTCAACAGAACAATAGAGGACTTCATTGCCAAACAAATCAAGTTTCACCAGGAAGAGAAGGTAGCTATTGTTCTCCATAGCTAAGCTTGAATGGGAAGTATTCGAAACCAACAATTTCAAATTATAAAAAAAAAAAAAAAAAAAACGAAATTATTATGTACAGTAGTCGATGAATGTATCGCCCTACCAATGCTGGAAGTGTTGTAGATCTGTGCCGTCCGTTTAGATATATTGAGAGGATTTGTGCCGTTGATGAAAAAAATGTTAAGTTTAGATTATGAAATCAGACATCGTGAATGCGTGCACGCTCTGATTTTAGAGAGCTGGATGTATTAATGTAAGAATTAATTATTCGTGTGTTTTGTCTTTTGGTGAAAATTCAAATGAAACAAAATGCATTTCATAATCATAATTCATAATTGGAAAATTTCCCAGTGAAGACTTAAAAGTTTTTTTTTTTTTTTTTTATAAGAATTACACTTTTCACTATAAATATTATAATTTTATTCATAAATAATTATTCAACTCTTAATATTTTATTTTGATTAAATAACGTTGCATTTTTTAAATATAAGTATTACAATTTTTTCCATAAGTAACAATTAATCATTTTTATCTTTTATTAGTAATACATTTTTTGTTATAAGTAATTGGTAAATTTCTAAATAATACAGTAATACAGACATACAATTTGATTTTAAAATATTATATTTTATCTCAAAAATATTACACTTTCCCTAATAAGTAACAAATTATTTATTTTTAATTAATATTAAATTTTTCCGCACAAGTATTACATTTCTATTTTGATTCAACTCATCTTACGAATAAGAATCCGTGAAAAATGAAGTGCTACTTATTTGGAAAAGGCAATGAATATTATTGACTCATATTTGGCATAAAATTTGTTTCTGGGTGCTTATTTTTGGATATGGCCTGTTAATAATTTAAATTGAGTCAAAGTGGATATAATTATATGTATTTATATATGCTCAAAATAGTTTAATGAGAATTTGAT